ATATGCTAACAATGGTAGTCTTTTGTCTTATTTGGATCAAAATATTAACAAATTGACGTGGATGGATAAATTAGAGTGTTTGAAGAATATTGTGTATGATCTGTGTACTATCCATAATGCAGGATTTGTGCATTGTGATCTTCATGCCGGAAACATTGTTCTCGACGACTATGACATTACAAAAAAAGAGTTCCACGTAAGTGACTCATACATATGCGATCTTGGTCTCTCACAATCAGTGAATTCGCGTGAGTCAACCATTCGAGGCGTTTTACCCTTTATTGCACCGGAAGTCTTTCATACTGGCAAATTTGCCCAGAAATCAGATGTGTATTCTTTTGGTATCATTATGTATTTGATTGCTACTGGTGAACCACCTTTTAGAGATAGAGAATTTGATAGAAACTTGGCATGCGATATTATGGGTGGACTGCGGCCAACGATGCCTGATTCTGCACCAGAGAAATACAAGAAACTTGCCGAGCGGTGTTGCGATGCTGATCCTGACAAGCGTCCAAATGCAAAGACACTGAAGGAGCTTCTTAAGGAGGCGCAGGATGATAATTCCGAGGCCAACACGTGGAATGCCATATATTACACTAATGTAAAACCCTTATCACGTCTCGAAAAGGAGAGTAAATACTCTAGTAAACTCTTACCTACTGGAGATTTGCCCAAACCGAGAAACAGTTATGATTTTGATTCAGTTCCAGGTATGACGATAGCAAATTAGTTACGTATTGATATTCAAATAAGTCAATTTTGCATATAGTATATTAATATTATCACTGTTTTCTAATTTAGTGACTCAAACGTTTGAATGAAAACTTGTAACTCATGGTTTATTTATAGCTTATACGAACTTACAGTATTAATAAAGAGTAATTAGCACAAGACGTTGATGTGGTTTGCGTAGCATGGGGGGTCCATTTTAAACTAAAAGGCAAGATAAGCGATGGTCGTATTTATTGTAATTATTCGTCGTAAACAATATTCTTTAAACGTACAACTATTAAGTTGTTTAAAAAAATAGCCCTTTGTCCGTAATCAATTCATTGAAGCTAGTGGTTTGCGCTCTAGCGATGTAATTATCAGGGAAGGAATTGTCAATATTGTATTTCAAAATAATGCTGATGATCAATTGCAATAAAAAAATCTTGTCCGCATCGGGGAATCGAACCCCGGCCGTCGCGAAATCCTAGCCACTAGACCAAACTAGCGGAAATTGACATTTCCAAGATCAAGCTGTACAGAAAAATACTATATTAGTCCTCACATTATAAAAAAAGGTTTGTCCTGTTAGTCCAAAAATGGAAGTGATGAATTGTGTAACACCGTGATACGCAGATAAACAATTACGAATAAAACTATCAATGGACGTTTGCTTTTTTTGAAATAGAGTGAGCCAACAAATTCTTCTCAAACTCCGAAGTTTAACAAGTATGCTAAACCATATTGTCAACGTCAGGGTAACCATGTTCGCATTAGTCGTTGATCGTACACTATTCGGAGAGCGTTGGTATATCCATCAATGCCTTTCAAGGTACTTTCTGTAAAATCAAAAAGAATAGTGTTCTTTATATTTCGATCTTCTCTTTTCTCCGTTATCCTATCGTTATAACAATGTAATGTTAGAGCATCGATTAATCATCATCTGTACTCTCTTCTCTTACACAGTCCCGCATACGATCACGATAAGAAATACCGAGGTTTTGAATAAATCGTCTGTTGAGATGCTTCAAAACCAATTCCTTATCAATGATCTTTGGATTGATTGCGCCGTCCCGAGGTATTGCTGGTCTTGAGCATGGATTTGCTATGATTGTCGCCATATGTGTTGCCCAAGATGTATTCGTAGTATCAGCCTGCTTTTGAACATGAATATTATGATAATCGTCAATATTTAACACTAAGGCCTTATCCAAATGTAGTATAAGACACTTCTCTACGTATTCTCCATGAACATCTGACATTTTCTTTTTCCTCCGATCTACGGCTCTTGACGTTGTAGTTGCTCCAAGATTTGCCATGGTATTTATGCCTTCATTACTGGCGCCGGCTGAATCTAAATAATATGCTAAGTCAAACTTAAAGCAGTTAATTTTGTATAATATATAAAAACCATCAATCTCTTCATACGACTCATCGTCTGCTCATTACGTTCTGATGGTCGAGCCGCTGAATAAAGCTGGTCAAAAAAGCCCTTTCAGTTGGGCTCCTTTGTCTTCGCATTTCATAATATTCATAAACTGGGCCTTCTTTCTCTATACATGTTCCCATTCATACAAAACTCTACCTATTGCCTCGACGGCTTTAGTGAGCTCAATTCTTGTACTTACCTCTTTCTCAACTGTGACTTTTAACCTCTTCTTAAGGGATTCTCTACTAAATGCATATAACAGGTATTACATAAAACTATACCTTCAACCCTGTTACCTTGACCAAGCCTTGACTTCAGCTTCTCTCCATTTGTCTCCTTTTAATGGACGGAATTTCGTTGATTCTGTAGACTGGCACTCTGTGCAATACTGTTCGCTCGATATTGTGGCTAGGTAATTAAAACGGTGTGGGATACATTTTAATTGTGGGCCTCAGAAAGGTAAAGTATTATAAAATGTATAAAAACTGACTAATAAGTTGTGTTACCCATTTGTGCTAACCGGAAAAAAAAAATCAGGGGACCAACAAACTTCGTATGACTCAAACACTTGCCTAATTTTTCGATATTAATGATGTAACTGTATAAGTAAGCGAATGATTGGAATAAAGGATGATAGAATGTGCAGGTTGTGCAACGCAGCTGTCATAAACTGTACAATTAATGAGTAGACATCATTTATATATAACCGCTATGCGAACTGACACGAAATTATTAAAATCAGAAACTTGCTCTCGGTAGAAACAACGATTCCTAATAACATTGATACAATGAGCGAACTGAATAATATGAACAACGATTCCGTCAGATGTTATAATAACGTCTGTCAATTATCTTATTCGGATGACTTCAATTTTGATGACACCAATACAATTCAAATGCCTATAGATTTGCTTGTCTCATCTCATACTCAAGATTTCCATCCCCCTGTTATCTCCTTTCCTCTCCCCAATAATGTCGATATAACGTCTCCTACTATGAATACTGTGGACTACGGAAATACAGGCTATTCTACATCATATCAAGATAATCCTTCAGATTCTTATTATTACACCCATCCGAGTAACGTTGACACGATGGATGGGCAGTTGAATATACCCTGCCCACCGGCCCGTTATGATCATGTCGAAATACCCGCAAATGGTTCTTGGCCGCTCCCAGGATCTTTTCAGAGACTCCATGGCTCCTCCGTCCAGTATCCTGATACGACGACTCCCGGTCTGACTAATAATTATTTGCAACATCTCGGCACGATTGACAATACATCTATTGCGTATATGCTTACACAAATGCCTCCTCCGCAAACGTCACTTTCATCTAATGTAATGAACGAGCCTGCAAGCACCGAGTATATTGTTATGAAAGTGGAGTATACTCGAATATCTGCTGCTGACATTGACAGAATATTGGCTGTATCTCGAGAGTGAGAAAGAAAGTTCATGTATGTTTGTTCTTGTAGATGTCTTCTTAATATTAAATTAACGAGGCTTTTTTGTGTGGGAGATTTCATACACTGTTATAAGTAACTATCAATATTTTTATTAAATAAATTTTTTAACCTTGTAAAGTCAGATATTGCTTTTTATGTTGTTTTCTTTCCACGTTTTGGTGCGGAATTCCCGAAATGAATATTTCTCCCAATAGGAGTTATGTTAAAATTTCGCCGGACGCAGCTTGATGAGCTAGGGCTATCAAGCGATAGTAAACCAGAAAATCTCTATTGTCCATACGTACTGTGTAACCCACAATGATTTTGAAGCTAATTGGCTGTATTTTTCGAAAAGAATGGTGTGGAATTTAAATTAGTTACTACAATGAAGAAGTAGTTCGATGAAGTGACGGCACTTGTGTTACACATAAATTCCGCCCACTTCATCGATCGTGAATATATCATTATTTAATGCATTGCGTACATGTAGCGTATAAAATATACATTGTACTGTATAATTGAATCGGTTGTTCAATCAACTTCTATATGCTATATGTATAAATTTTATATCCCTTCTATCACATCAATTAAGCATCGGTTCTTTTGTTATTCTTCATTCTTACCTATAAAGGATGTATAGAATGTGTTTGTCACTACAGTTAGTCTGCCATTTTCTTGCAACCTCTGTCGTTATTACGATTAACTTTCATTTAATGCATACATACTTTGCTTTTTCAATAACACAGTTGTCATCTTATTTCATATCCGCAGTGTCAACACCATTTTGTTGAAAATGAGATTATGTTGTGGTCAGATTAAGTTAGTGTAATTTGTGTATGATGGTTATCAACTACTGGATTACATAAACTTTTAGCCAAAGAGTGCATTCATATGAAAATGTCGTTTTCTGTTCCAGTAGATTCCCGTTTCTTTCGCCAATGACAATCTAAGTCACATCTTTTTCAATTATACACAGTATAAACGAAATTCGTGATTGGTACATCTTCGTGCCGAAAAAGAAATAAAATTTTTTGATACTTGATTTTACGTTTTAATTTGATTTATTATCTGCAGCCGTCGTGATATCTGGAACAAAAATTCCATACTAAGATACATTTGACTTAATAATCATTTCTCTTTCCTCAAAGATTAAAAAAGAAAAGTCAGCAAATGATTTAATTTTGAAGATTTAATTGCTGTTGACAAGCATGCTGTTTTTAGTTCGTTGAATAAAGCGAGTTGTACGAAACCAGACACGAACTACCATTATTTTGAAATGAGGCGTCTTTTGATTTGATTTCAGAAGATTTGGAATTGTCGCTCAGGAGGTAATATGGAAGCCTCAGATATTCAACACTAGAAAGGGAGGATATGGAACCAGCCTATAGACTGCTACGCAGAAATGCGATATTGTATAACTGAGTATTTTATAGAGACATATTCTAAGAAAGAGATGCGAAATTACAGATAATGTATTAGTTTAGCTATTGATCTCTGGTTAATTTGCTGCCAAACATGAGTACGTTAGACCATATTTTTCAAGATATATCACTTTACCTTTATAGCGATACTATAATATATTATCAAAAAAATTATTGTACTGCTCGATATTAGTTCAGCTAATAATACGACGCTACATGTCAGTAATAAAATCGTCTGTTGACGTAATGTTTTAGTACGTGATTTCGTAAGGAGCGTACTGTCGATACAGCATATTACCAGGTATGTATGAACGAGAACATTATCCAGGATTCTAGCACATTAATGGAAACAAGTTCTTACTCACTGCTACTGTCTGAGATTATAATATAAAGAGGAAAAATGTTTATAGTTCATTTGCAACATACAGGTTTGATGGAAAAATTCGAGATTAATAGCAAGGAATGTGGCCCTATTCAACAATAACATTGGCCAAACTTGCTCATTTATTTACATACGCACAAAAGTATCAGTACAAAAATATATTGCTATAATAATTGATACATCACCGATTTGGTTACATGTAATAACGAGATAGTAAATTGATACAACGAGCCAAATTTAATAAAAATTTTTGCTAATAACACTTTTGTTGTTAGATTCAGGTAGTTGAGGAAAGGGTTTGTGGTTTATTTTGCCAAAAACTATTACTTGGGAGGAAATTTCGTAATTCAATAGGTTTTTCTTCACGTATTCTGTGCCTTATATTCTAACATGTTAAGATTTGTTGGGTAAAAAATGGAGACCTCAAGCTAATTATGATTATGATTTATACAGAAAATATATGATAAAAATTACGCTTTGGCGTACTACCTTTTTTTAGTAGAGTTATAGCATGTTCAGCATAATATAAAATTATTTAGACCGAATCAACGCTTTTAAGTAGGTGATTGCTCTCCCAATTTTTTTTTTTTTCGCATTAAGAATGTGCACTTTATGCATTGAGTGTTTCTTAAGGCTTTTTTTTTGTTCTAAGTGTTATATTATAATATGATCAATAAAAGGTCCAAATAATATTTCCGAATCAGATAAAAATGGCATCTCCACAAAGCATTCAAGACAACACAGCACTCGCTACGTTTGAAAGCCTCTTCCAGTTGATCACAACATTTTCCAGATGCAACACTGCAAAGCACAGTTAATCGGGTTTTGGTGAATAATCCACATCATAATTTATTGCAAAAAAGAAACCGTGAGTTAGAAGATCAGCTTTTAAGAGCGTATTTGCATCGCTTAGTTTGGTATTTTTATGTGTAATTATGAATGCAATTTGTGAAAATGTCACATATCGGACGTTTGTGCGGTCTTTTGAGTCTGTAGTATAAATGATGCCAAATATGCAAATTCATTTCCGGGGTTCCGGATTATAGGTTTTTCGACCCCGGTGATACGTATAAGCTTTGAGGGTACAAAGAGCTGGCATATCAAGTTGTAAGAAGGCCACTTTGTAGATTTTACAATAAATTGTAAACCCATTTATAAGCACTTTACAACAAATTGTATATATACTGAGTTGTACAAGGAGAATTCTCTGCAGTCATACCCTCTTTACAGTCACTGGTTTCAGGAGAACCGATAGTGTGACTGTAGAGAGGGACAACCGTATATTCAAGCAAGCAAAATGTTATAGTAAGAACATCTGTTGCAATAATAGTAGTCATTATTATGAATATTGTTGTTCGGCTAGACAATCATATTACTAATGCAGACTTTACGCTTTTCTTATCATATTGTTTGCTATCGATTCATCACTATCATAGAGATCAGTTTAATTGCGTGGCTTATCGGACTTTTTAACCAGTGAAAATTTTTACTGCGTGTTGTTACACTGATACTATTGTTCTTGTATACGGAAACAATCGTGACAGTCGCAATATAATGTAATGATGTGTTACACTAGGCAATATATCGATACCCGTGTATGCTTTTCTATTGGTTGACAGTCGCAGACTCTCACACTCCTTACTGCGTAGATAACGACATCAATCTGTTTAATTAAGTTTTACGCGTAATTTATCGGACTTGTTAACCAGTAGAAAATATTTTGCCACGTGTACTTACGGAAACAATTATGACAGTTGCATATGACGTGTTACCCTAGATGCCCGTGTATGCTTTACTATTGGTTGACAGTCGCAGATTCTCGCACTCCTCACTGCATAAGATAAGACATTTATACTTATAAGGTTGCGTACGACAGCGATTGATAATATAAAGTAGTACCAATATGTCATCTTCCGTCATCCAACGCGTCTACTCATACATATATATACCCAGACTCTTCCCTCCATTGCACATACAACTCCTCTTCCTCCAAAACGCAAATACAACAACGAACAATTTCCATGCTGATACTCTATATTACATATACACTACAATACTATATTGTTACTCTCCATCGCTCTTTCTCCAAAGCAGAAGAAAAAAAAATCTCATACTCAATAGAAATTTAGAAACTCTCGAGATATATAAATTGGAAGTCGATGATGCTACGCATGTAATAAGAAAACATTTCAAGAGTTTCACGGATCCCGGATGGAACGTGGGCAGAGGAGAGATTCTAGTACAACGCAACGATGCCTGCTTCGACAAGAACCGTGTCGCCCACTTCACCAACTTTCGCTACCAAGCGCGAAAACCCATCGTCCGACACATTATCTAGTCGTAAATAACTATACGTCGAAGATATTTCCTCACCAGATTAACTTTTTTCACTAATTCTCGGTAATCATTTAATAACTATACGTCGAATTTGTAACCGTCCTCACAAATATCCCAGTCTCAACCAGTGCAGCAACCTCAATTGAAAAGCAGCACAATGCCTGGCATGTCAGTTGCCACTCCAAGACGGCAGCAGTATAGTCCTATACCCCAGCCTGGATTGTTATCAGGTCAGGATGTCAACTTGAATAATCGTCGAACAACAAACTTGGTCAGTTCTAATCAACCAATGAGCGTTATGAATCCATATTCGACATTGAATGATTCTTCTGCGACATCTAACAATTCGCCAATGACCAATTATAATGATCAGCATTGTTTAATAATTTGCAACAGCCTGTTAATGCAACGAATCCGTTTGCGATAACGAGTTTTTCCGTTTCATCCGCCTCTGCAATCACCGACCCCTACAAAGCATTTGAACGCTTGAGCATATCAGATAGTGTATCGAAGCCTTTGTAGTAAACAATACACCCATAACCGACAAAGCGGAGTGGAGGAAATAAAGAGGGAGTTGGCGTTGAGAGGAACGACCATAGATATAATTTGGTGATAGGTAAATTAGTGGATAAATAATCGTTTGCTAACAGAGTATTGCTTTTAAACTGGTTAACTAGGTGGCCACTCTCTTTTGTCTCAGC